ACGGCAACTGTTCTCATGTTTTTTTTTTTTTCCTGGTGTCCCGGCTACATGAATTTAAATGTGCTACTGGACTGGCATCTAGGTCCCACCATTTGACTGTTGAAATAGTAAAATGCAACTGTCACTTCTACTCCAAAAGTTTTTCTCAACAGTGGAACTCACTTCCATTTACTTGCTTCCCTGAAAACTAAAATCTTCAAAAATTTTCAATGCAATGTCACCTAACACCTTCGGTTGTCTTGAACCCTGTTTGTCTTTTATCCTTTCCTCAATTCCCCTCTATATTCAATCTTTTTTCTCTCTCACTCTCTGTAACTCCCTGTGTACTAGTGACACTTCCACCTTGCTTGGGATGAAATGATTAAAAACAACAAAAAAAAAAAAAAAAGTGTAAAAATGCTTCCTCTAAAAGAATTAAAAAAAAAAAAAGAATAATAAAGTACTATTTTCTCTCATTTACATGCAAAGTTCATAGGTCATCACAGCTCTTCACATCTTGTTTTGTTGTAAGTTTTTACCTTTTAACTTCCTTTTTTTTTTTTTTTTTGACCCTGTTCAGCTATCCATTCACACAAAAACTAATTAAGTAGGCTACAAGTGATTCACTTTGCTTTTCTTGCTCTAAATATTTCCCATGAGTGTTGAATTCTCTTGGCTTTTTTCCTCATTATATGCACCCTCCCCCATTTCAGCTGAATATAAGTTTCTTTGTTGTTCCTGTTTTCCTTAAGACTTCCACATTTGATCATATATGCTGTCTATTGTATTCTTCACATTTATCAATAAGAACCCATATTACTATTGCTTCAGGTCATCTTCTTCATCTGTCAGGAAATTATCCAGTATTTGCTATTTACTAAGTAATAAAACAAAGAGGACATTAAAAATGAAATAAGAGATAACAGAATGGTTTAGAGATTTGTGTTTCATTTAATCATTTGACCTTTTCTGTAATAAAAAGTGCTAAAGATGATGTCCATGAAAGATGAATTCCTAAGGTGTAGGAAGTGAGTTAAGAATTTGTTGAAAGCTGTCAGGGAGTGTGTATTGCTTGTGAGTGTTATTATAAAAAGTAATAATAATGAGTAAGATGCACATACATATGTAATCCTATTTATTTTGTATGCAAATCTATAGATTTATGCAAAAATGTAGCATCATATAGTTCAACACTCCATATAATAAAAATAAAAAAAAATATATGTAAAATAATCATGAAACTCATTGAGAAACACTTCCCAATATCAAGTAAGCTGCACAAAATATTCAACAGAAATACTCTCAAACATTGAAAACGTACTACAAATCATTAAAAAAAAAAACAATCAAAAAATCACTTACCACAATTGCCTACTACATTCAGCTGTAACTTTAGAACAATGTATGAATGCCCACTAAACGATAAAGGTCTACAAAATAATGTAATATATGAAGCTACAATAAGATCCAAAGGGAATCCAGAAAAAAAATATTTAAAAATAACAAAAGGTCCCTGAAAACCGAAATTACTGACACAAAACATCATTTGACAATAGAAAATATATAAACAATATAACCCCATTGAAGCATATATGGCAACTTCAAAATGCAAATATACCAAAAACTCAAAATATGCCAAAAATATCATGGTGATATGAAAAAATTCCCATCTTGCAGCCTCAAAATTTGTACTTAGTAATTATTGCTACATTTCCTCTAATTCCAGAACAAGATGAAGTCCTAAACAAAAAGTAAGAACTCAATTCAAAAATCTAATATGAAAATGAATTCCTTCTATTCTACTTATGACCATATCATGACTGAAAAGACTAAATAAATTCCATAGCATAATCCTAATAAACTTTATTTCAAATACCAAACAAAGAAAATATACCAATGGTAAGAGTTAGATTAACTGTTTCCATGCTAGTGGAAACCAAATCACTTGATGACTACCAACAGCAGCAACAACTAAAATGGATAGCACATGTAACTTGAAGAGAAAATAATGATAGAATGAACACAGATGGTCACAATCCACATTACTAATAAAAAAGTTAGGAATGACGAGGCTCAATGCTGGAGGTAATACCGATAAAGGCTACTAGATTTGATAAACCTATTTCCCTGAAAAATTGTTTTAAGAGAAAGACTTTATAAATTTCAACTGACAAACAGTACTTGTTTCTCAGTCAATAAATACGAAATGTTTCCTTGTAGGGAAATTGGTCATATTACCATTATGATTACCGTCCTGGAAACTGTAGTAAATAAAAAGAAGAAAGTGACGGGGGGGGGGGTCAGAAAGTGCAGTGTGCCATTCACCGGTGGACCAGCTATTCTTCCTTTGTCGTCAGTCCCCTCAAGGAAATGGATTGTGAGACTCCCTTTCTCGGACATTACACTGGGCAGTCGGGAAACAAACACCAACTCAGCCATGTTTACTTCGACTTCCTCTTTGTCCGTCTGTCAGTTTGTATGTCCAACTCTATTGCATGTTGTCTGCCGAATGACTCCCAGCTTGAGTCATGCTGCTGGAACCTTGCTTTTTATGCCAGTCTGATATTGCCAAAATTTGCATGTGTGCAATAATGGTCTCATTTTGGACGAGATCGGCGCACATAAATTGTATCTTCAATAGCAACCATATTTCTTTTTGTCATTACTTTGCAGGCAAGACACGTTTGCACTTGTTTTGAACTCTGAAGTAAGTCATATCTTTCGTCACAGAAACATTTGGCATTGATTGGCCGAACAGTTGGTATTATTGTTAGTTGAAATTTATTGAATCTTTTTTTGTTAAAGTTTTTCAGGAAACTAGATTTCCAGTAACTTCTATTGCTCTTTTTGTTTTTGATGAAAGTTTTTAGGTAGATTGGAAAGTTTTGATGTTAGTTTTGTTAGGTAGTTTGGAAAGATGATAAGATTATTTCCCCTTTTAGCAGATTAGCCCATTTGAATGACATTTTTTGGTTCAGGAAGTCAGTCAGTTATTTTGCTGCATGATAACCCCAATGTTCATGTAGTAGGTACAACACAGTAAATAATCATGAAGCAGTGATAGGAAGTTTTTTCACATGTGGCATATTCTCCACACCTCTCACCTTGATTATGACTTGTCATTTCCTGCAACACTTCTCACCTGCTCAGTGGTCTAAACAAGTTTAAGATATTAATAATTCATTGAAGATTAACCTTTTGTTTTTGATAGTGCGGAAAGTTAACAGCTTGATTGTAATTGATGTTGGAAGTGATCTACTCATGATGTGGTTTTTGTTATTTAGTAAAAGGTCCTTGTTGGTGATTCTGCAGCACCAGTCTATACGGTCTGATGAAGTATTGTCTTCTTTAAGACCTAAAAATGATTCATTTGCTTGAAGCCATTTTTAATCATTGATCTAAGAAAGTGGTTGTATATAAATAGATATTTCTGAATTGATTGGATGCCATTCATAACATCCACATGAAAGTCTAGATATGACAAAACTATTCAAGAACAAGTCTTCAGTTCTCAAATTAATATATTTCTTTTGAAGAATCTTATGGTTTTGTTCAAAAGTACCCCTTGCACAACTTATTCTATATAAATGAATAATATAATAATCCTATCAAAACATATATGCAAACTCAAAAACAGTATTGATTCTTATGTCATGTATGAATTATCCATGCTATCAAAATTGATGGCAGATTTTTTTTTTTTTTTACTATTATGAGGTTTTTACATTTTTTTCCAGTTAACATTGTAATTGGCTCTTTTACCTGTCAGTTTCATAAACATCTTGAAATAGTTTGTCATTGTCATAACAAAGATGCTGCAACTTGATGCCAATAATACAAAAGAGATAACTCTTGCAAAAAGTTCCAGAATATGAATATATATATATATATGATAAGCAAGTATAAATGGATATAAATCTGACAGAATGAAGAAAATATCTGGAAAAACAAAACAAAAATCCTTAAAATTTTAAGGATTTTTTTGTTTTTCCAGATATTTTTATATATATATATATATATATATATATATATATATATATATATACACACACATCTGTTTTGCACTGGGTGCTCCATACTTTTGGCCTTGTACCACATCTAAACTATGCTTAGAAAATCATTTGAGCACTTCAATGTAGTGTAATGGTTAGCAAGCTTTTCTTGCTAGCTCAATAATGACTGAGTCGCAAGTTCGATTCTCACTGGGTGCTCCACACTTTTGTCCTTGTGCCACATCTAAGCTATGCTTAGAAAATTGCTGCACATTTGTTTTTGGCTAAATTTTTTCCTGGGTTTTTAAAATTGCCATTATATCTTCTCTTGATACATTAATACCTGTGTGTGTGTATATATATATATATATATATATATATAAATAAAATAACAACACAGAGTACATCAGATACATGATTCTAGCATCTTTGTTCAACAGTCGAGAGGTGAGACGTAGATCAGAGTTGAAATTTATTTTCAAAATAAATTCAAACACTGTGGGATTAAACAGAAATTTGGGTTTATTCAGAGAATATAATTTTGACAGGGAGATGTCTAACCAACAACATTCCTTGAAAGAGTAAGTTCCACTTCTTTGTTTATTTCTCACATTGTTGAAAAAGAAAACAGGTGTGTTTGAAAATTCTGACTTTAAAATTTATCTCTTCATGCTGCATTTCAGTCAAAAAGTTAATATGTAATAAATATTAATTTTATTGACAATATTAGTATTTTGTTGCCTTTTTATCCATAAAATTTCATTAACCAGCCTATTTAATATATATATATATATATATATATATATATATATATGTGTGTGTGTGTGTGCATCAATACTAGTATTTCTTAGCTTATATCAAATATTGTTGAATACATTTCAGTCATAGACAGTGAATATTAAACAAATTCATTCAATGCCTTTTTTTGTAACATCTTCATACCACCACACACTTATTATTTTGAGTTCTAGTTTTCTTAGAACAACATATACTCAGCTCAATTTGATTAAATTTTTGAAAAAATCTTACCTCATTTGCCTTTTTATTTCTCTCTGAATATTCAGTTTCCAAATTCTTTAGTTCCATTGAAGTCTGGAGGAAAGAAATTGTGTAAATAAATCGTCTGAATAGGGAAATAAAATTATTTTGTAATAAATTAATGGTTTCACTAGGTCTACGGCTGGAAGCTAAAACAATTAAGAATCACATTTTCAAATTGAACTTCTGTATTAGAAAATGAGGCTTTGCTAATGAAGTTTCAATAGTTGAAGAATTTAATTTGGAAAGAATTGAATGTTTTTATCTATCATTTCCTTTATATTTCTCACATTTTCCACATTTGTTATAAAACAATGGCAACAGACATTTTGTTTCTTTAAAAAAACAAAGAAGGATTTTACATTCAAGAATAGCCAATGTGATACTGAATTTTCTTGTCCTGACACATTTCCAAAATCTGACCAAATAACTAAATATCAGATTATTTAAGGGGAGAATCCCTTCTTAGTTAGGCTGAGAACTTTTCAGCAACCTTTTGTTTCATATGAAATATCTCCATTGTAGCAGCAGATAATTTAAAACCTGTTTAATACTTTCTTTTAAGCAAACATATACAAAGTGCTGAAGTTAGATTCCAATAATAAAAAATAAACTAGGGAAAGTCCATGGTTGTCGATAACAACCATTAACTTATGCCTCTGCTCTTCTTTTACTCATTGCCTGTATCTTCCCATTTTCTTCCTTATCCCTTCCAAACTTTATTATCCTGCAATGTCTGCATTTAAATGTGGTTCAATTTCTTTCCCGATGATAAAGTTTACCTTTAAACTGTCCTACTTTGTCTTTCTTGGTAATTTTGTTTTATGATTTAATATTTTTAAATTTATCAATTATCCCCTGATTGAAATGTTGGTCACTTTAGAGGGATCATATCTTCTATTTTTATTAACAGCTAATTTCAATATGTTTCCACTTTTTCAAGCTAGATTTATCTCCTCTGCCTTAAAAAAAAAAAAAAAAAAAAAAATTGTTTGATTCCACTGCATCAAGAGAAACTATTTGTCTATTTGGCCTGGTAATAGAGACTGAAAGTGGGGGGGAAGAAAACTGGGCCTGGTAAAGAACTTTAGAATGTAGTTTATTTCTTTTTCTCAATGAAATGCTTAATTGAACATTTTATTATTTTTATAGCAATTGAAGGATTTTCTAATTTTCCACTTGAAAACATAAAGCTCTTCAATGAACATTTTTTCTGTTAATCTTTTTTAATCTCAACTTTTGGTGCATTTGTAAGATTTTCAGAGTTTGTTAAAAATGGAAAAAAATAGTTTTTAGCTCAGAATAATGAATTTGAAGTTAGAAATCTCTCTTTAAGATGTTAAACTGGTATTTAGCCAAAACAAAAAAAAAAAAGAGTTTTGAAATACATGATTGAAATTTTACTATGCATCCTATATAGCTAGTATGTAAATATTGGGGAAACACTAGGCAATCAGTAATTTGAATTCTCATATGTGAATTTGTTTTTGTAAAAATACATCCTCAATAAATTTAATCTCAAAGGCAAACCCTGTAAAAGACTCATGTCCAATATTCAGAATAAGTGTATAAGTTATCTGTATTTAAAAAAAATCGTTTTGGTAATTTTGAATGAATTTCAACTGGTCAGTTTTCCAGCCGTCATCAGATAGTTACGGATATAAATAAATTCAATATATGTAAAAAGGAAGGTGTTTTCATATACTCAACCTATTTGGATACTGTATTGGTTACACATGCAGGTAACATTCACCTAATGATGGCCAGAGAACAAAAGAAAAATTGAAATAGATGATGACACTATCTCAACTGGAAGATTTAGATAAAAAAGTGATTTTATTATATGCTGATTGATCTGAACTGGTATCTTCATCTTGATTATTTATTGATTTACTTTTCTACCTTCATTGGAATTTCAAAGCAAAATCCTTTATTCAATTCAACAGGGAAAAAAACCTGCCCTATTCCCCACCTCCTGTTATAGATTGAATACCAAGGCATACGAGGCTATCTAGCCTTGATTGGCATCCAGTTTAGATATGATAGCTCAATTAAAGTACCCATGTCCCAGGAATCTGGGCCACTTATGATGTGTTGGCCTATAAAAATGCACACTGATTGAAGTTCTTAAGTCATGTGAGTCACACAATCTGCTGCAGAAAGAGACATTTACTTTTTAGTTTTGTTGTGTTCGTAGGATAAAAATGAGGGAAATATCTTTTCTGTGCTCATTGTCTTGGTTGAGGATTGAACCAGCAGAACATTTATTTACAACAGCAAATGTTTAAAAAAAAATGATCTCATTTCATACCTTTAAATGATCACTTAACTCAATGATTGAAATGGTGTCAAAGAAAAAAAAAAAAAAAAAACAATGATGAGGATATTGGTCTAACTGAACAATTTGATCTTATCTGTGTTTCTTAGTTGTCTACTGAGAGTTGTGACCCTTACACTGCATTTGGCAAGAATAATAATTTTGCTGTGAGGTCAGTGACTCCTGCAGACTGTAAAAGAAATCTAATTACTTGTTCAGTTCTTCTAATTTTGTTGCAAATGTCCAATAATTTTAGATAATTATTTTCATGCAAAAACAAAAAAAAGAAAATAAAAACTCGGACTCTCTGCTTTTTAATTTATATAAATTGGATTTTTTCTGGAAAAAGAAAAAAGAAAAGAAACAAAAGAAGTGGAATTCTTATTTTGAAATTGTAAGAAAAGCCCATTTTGTGCGCAGTTAGGCACAGGCAACCAATCAACAACTTTGGTGACTTGGAACAAACAATTTTTCTTAATTAATTTTCTCTCTGTCTCTTTGGAATAATCGCTTTTGCTTTGCTATTGGAATCCAATAAATTACAGGAGACCAACTAAAAATTTCCCAAATAGGTTGTAAAAGAAATTCTAACACAAATGGTTGCAACAGAAACAAAACAGCCATAAAAATATTAATTCTTTTACTTATAGGAGATTTGTATAATAAGTATCCATTGAATATGAATAAAAAAAGAAAAAAGCATTCTTAGAAAAATGATGCCGTTGCCTCCTTCAAATTATTTCCCTTTCGACCACATACACTTATCACACTACATAAAACCGTCTGGAAAATCATCTTTCAGGATTACAATCAGCTTCCTCGTTAGGTTTTCCTCAATCTCAGACACTGCGTTTCCATGATGATTTTTATCTTTGAGAAAACCCACAAGTAATATGGAAGCAGATTTGAATGGTAGGGAAGCTGAGAGACTGTAATGATGTGATATCATGCTAAAAGAATAGCACAAGATGTGAAGAATGTATGTAGTACATTGTGAGGATGAATACAACATTCACACTCAATGGCATCACAATGCAGACTGAACAACCCCATAGGAGAGTGTTCATACATATACAGTAAGACTGGCTGCCAAGTTGCATCATGGATGCCCATGTAGTTCTCAAGATATCGTAATTCCCCATGTATTATATGCATTTTTTTGTAAGAAAAAATAAGCAAAATCTGGGGGGTGTATTATGCACATCTACAAAAAATCTTTAAAAAATTGCTGTAAAATAAAATTAGAATTATCATAAATCTAATTTAGAATATTATTATTCTGTTTAAAACCATTTTTAAAAAAAATAAGAGTAGGAAATGCTGGTCATAATGAAATTGGAGAGGTACAATTTATAGGGTTTGATTACCAAACTAGGGGTGCGTATTATGGATGAGGGCATATTATACATGGGGGATTACAGTATTCAAAATAGCTAGATTCCAGAAAGAGCCAAAGACCCAAATTTCTTTTGCCAGACTCTCTCTTGCACATTTATAAGTTCACCATTCCTCCATGCATTGAAGATTGCTGTCACATCTGGTCTGGTGTTTCTGCTATGCATCTGGAGATTTTCATGGCCTCACCTGGCATCTCAGCTTCAATATCTTTCATAATGTAGCTTCCTTGTGCTTTTTCTATAAATATTTCCATGGTAGTTGTTCTAATGAGCTTTTATTTTTGGTACCTTGACTTCACAAATTTAAGTACTAGATTGGCAGCTAGGTCTCATCATTTCAATGATGAAATTGCTAGATGTAACTGTTAGTTCTAATGCTAATAGTTTTTACTCTCGCACTTCTTGGTCACAAAACTTTCTTCTGGCATCCCACTTTCCTGTCAACTATGATCTACAAAAATGAAAATGCAATGTCAATCAGCAGCATCTCTCTCCTAGGATTCTGTTGTTTTATTGTCCTCTCTGTTTCTTTCACTCTCACTTGCTCAATATATTTTAGTGTCTTTTATAATCTTGCTTGGGTTGAAATGATTTATAAAAAACAAAAAGGTCCAAAATATGCTCTTGTTGGAAAAATGCTGTTGCAGCCAGAAGTCTGTAAATGCAGTTTTGGAATTAATCGTTATTGGTATTAACACTGGAGTCAAAAAAAAAAAAAGAGAAACCAACAAATTTGATGGAAATGTTCTCTGATTATTCTGATTACTTTGTTCTTTCCTATTGTGATTCTGTTAAATTATCATTGCAGATTTTCAGCCAGAACATATCCATAACGCTATTTCCTTAAAAACAAAAAAAAGACCTCAAATCTACCAGTAAAGCTTCAGGATTGAGTTGTACAGTATTTTATGTCCAAAATATGAAGCCATCATCTTCACCTCCTCAGACCTTGTTTGTGCCTCTCTACTTGAACTTATTACAGTGACTCTTAATCAAAAGCACCAAAAAGGATTGCCCCCTTTTTTCTCTTGATTCAATTTGTTTCTTCAATGCACTGTCTTTTTATTTGAGATACATGTGTTAAGTGAAAAAAAAAAAAAGCATATTGCATCCAAGCACTCTCTTTTTTTGTCTGAGCTTCTGTCACTTAAGCATAAACTAACCACAAAAAAAAAAAAGGAGGAAAAAAAAAAAAAAATCTTTTAGTAATTAGCTTCTGTTTTTGCTCTATATCTCTAGAGCCTAAGTTTATGCAAGCAAAACTCTAGTTGCAGTAATTACAGGACGGGGGGGTGGGGGCTTGCACAGACATCACACAGCAGGTTAAAGGTTGCCTGCAGCTGTAGATTTGCTGTTATTTGCACTGGAGCATAATCGGACACTTTTCTCCTTCTTTTGTGACTTATTAAAATTCTTTTTATCAGTCAAAGTAAAAATAAACTGCAAAGTATAATCTTTCTAATACTCTCAAGGGGAAAACCTTTCATTCTTTCCTTTTCCTGTAATGATTGTTTTTATTTTTATATTTAGAAAATTTTATCGTTTTAAATTGCTTTTCAACAAAGTCTTATTGACAATAAGTGCAAATGTCTTTTCTTAAACACTGAAAGAAAATTGCATAATGAAACAAAAAGGTCTGAAAGTTTCAAGGTGACATTTTTTTATTCTAAGTTCATAGTTGGGTTAAGTACAAATCCCAAAATACAAACAAAGGGAAAAGAAAATCTTATTTCAAACAGGGCAAAAGGACTTTTTTCTAAACTCAACAACCACTCTCAAATATATATACTTTTTTATAACTGTTGCTACAATGTACCTTTAAGTTATGTGCTTTTTCTAGAAAAATATTTTTGTGGTAATTGTTCTAATTGGCAATTTGACTTCACAAATTTAAGTGCAGTACTAGACTGGCAGGTAGGTCTCATAATTTCACCACTGAAATATCTACATGTAACTGTAAGTTCTATGTCAATAGTTTCTTTCCCCGCACTTTTCATTCTCTTCCAGCTTTCTTGTCAACTATGATCTTCAATGATTTAAATTCAATATCGATTGTCATCTCCTGTTTCCTTGAATCATGTCCTTTTCTTGTTCTCTCTGGGTTTTTTTTCACTTTCAGTTACCCCCTTGCATCCTAGTGGCTTTTATCACCTTGTTTGGGGTGGATTTAAAAAAAAAAAAACACAAACATCAGAAAGTTATCTCCCTTAGCCATTTAAGCAGAAAGTACATTTCCTTTCAGCTAACAACATTGGCATTCATAAATTTAATAATAAATGTTTCTTTTTTCATTTTATCATGAATTATGCAAATTCAATTCCATATTATTTGACCAAAAGATAACCAGAAAATAAGTGGAACAGCATCAATCAAAAGAATCTATTGAAAATTATCAGCTGGTTAAATTTTATAGGCCAATGGGTAAAGATATTCCCCATGTCAAATTGACCACCAAGAATAAAAAAGAAGAGTCTCAGTAGAAACTAATATTGATATTGTTTTCATTTTAGAAAGATGATAGTTGTGTACATAATATAAACATGGGCTCAAATTTATCCCTGACTTCTTAAAGAGTTATCTGTACTTTGTTTTTATTTACAAATATCAAGTTGGAGACTGTGCTTATGTCATTGATAACTGTAAGCTATTACAAACTGAGAGAAAGACAACAATAATATGCAGAAAAGAATTTTTTTTAAAAATATTCTTTATATTTTTTTAATGTATGGACCAGTCATTTTAAGAAGTGTCATTCAAAAAGAGAAAAATCTGATATTAAATAGAAATAATTTATTTTTTCTTTTCAAAAGCAATATGATTTGTTAAAGATATAAAAAAAAAAAAATAAGGTGTTACCTTTTCTAGGACTTTGTTCATTTCTTCACTGTGACATTTTTGCAGGTTTAACCGGTGTTGTTCCAGTTGAGACTGAAGTTTTCCAACCTAAAGAAAATGAAAGGGAGAAAAAGTCATTTAAATGCTACTAATGTAATATATATTTATATGTGTAGCCTGGTGTGGTGGCTGAGAGAGTTGCATATTTCTCTCCAGTGTACAAAAGTTGATTTATCAAGAGGTCCATATTGTTTAATCTCTTAATCTGAAAAGGATTGGGTAATAATTGAATCTCCCCTCTTGGCAGGTCATGTAGTAAACTATCCTGGACTTAGTAAATATCTATTTCTGAACTTCCCCCATGTCCACAAGATGGACTCTCATCTAAGACTATTTAAACAACACTTTCTCTTACTGAGCAAGACGAGTTAACAATTAACTCATTATTACATTAGTCTGTGTTCTCAACTGTGTACCATATTATTCTCTGGAATAAACTGCTTCTTATTTTCTATATATGTGTCAACCTTTCCTATTTACAACACAACATTTAACAAGGGATTCGAATGTTAAAATTTCAAGTGGGAACATTTGAGAATAAAAATTTTGAGTGTAATACCAAATTCAGATTTAAAGAAATTTGCAGTCATATACCAAGAAATTGTTGATGACAGCTACTCAACCTTGGATTAATTCCAAATCTACATAACACATTGACGTTAAAAACAAGTAACAATTTTATTTGTTCAGTAAATTTTTATGAGGGGGGGGGAAGAGTAGGAAATTATTTGATCAGTTAAATTTTAAATGGAGGATTTAAAAGAAGCAATGATGGAATTCATGAAAATCCAGCAGAAACGAAATGAATATTTGCAAGAAGAACGATGTTTGGACCAGGAATGCTCTGAAAAATAAAATAAACAGTTTGAAAAACGTTTGAATTGTTACTGTTGAAAAAGGGCAAAGGCAGTGCCAATTCTTTTTCTTAGGATTCAGTGATAAATTCAGTTGGTGAATTTAATTATAGTCTGGAGGAGGAGGTAACTTTTCTGGCATATTTTTGATGTTATGAAGTAGTTTTTCAAAAAGATTGTGCTACATGGTCTGATGTACATCTGTTGCTCAAAAATTTGGTCCAAGTGAACTTGAAAAGTATGCAAACTACATATTTTTAAGAAATCCTGAGGGAATATCTTTTGGGTAGTCTCTTAATTTTGTAAAAATCTTTGGGGAGAAAAGTTCTCTATTCAACACCAGATGGCAGTGTTTAAACCTTACAAAGTGTGGCGGATTATTCGACTTTTGCTGGGATTGTCAATAGTGTGAAAAGTTTAAATTAAAAGAACTTTTTCTTGATATATTTAAGTGCTTGATTTTTGTACAAGGACTGACGACTGCAGAATATGGTGATATTAGAACCAGAATTATGTCTAAATTAGAACAAAATCCAAAAATCAGTTTGTAAATGGTCACAGAAGAATAGAAAATCTTCAACATGTCAAGGATAGAACACGACTTGTCAAAAATTCAGGCACTTAAACAAAGACAACACAAAGTAAATTTTGCCCACAAAATAAATCCTTGTTATGACTGTGGAAAGATTCATTATTACAAGGAATGTCCACTTAGGAAAGAATGCTTTAATTGTGGCAAAAAAGAACATTGCAGAAAACCTAAAAGTAAAACGGAGTCAAAAATGAAAAATAAATTAACTCAATTACAATGGAAAACAAAGAAATAAAAACGAAAAGAAAGTTTGTAAATGTAGAGATGAACAATAAAAAAAATATTAAGTTCCAATTGGATACTGGTTCCCTTCATTGGACATGCAAAATCTATATGCAGCCTTGTCAATGATAAATGAAAAAATTGGCAGACCAACTTTACTGATCATGAAAAGAATTGCTCATGGTATTACAGGAAATAAACTAAATTTTAAAGGAGAATTTTACACAAATGTGACATTTATTGACAAAACTATAAAATTAAAAGGATTCATTATCAAATGAACACAAAACCTGTTCAGTATGGGTTAGGTCATTTAACCTTTTCAACCAACCAATTCATTCATTCTGCTATAGTGTCAGTGTTCATTTAAACAGTGTGGAAAAAGAATTAAAGATAAAATTTCCTGAAATATTTTCTGAGGGTTTTGGCAGGTGCTCAAAAGCTAAAGCAACATTCAAACTTAAGAATTAGATAGCTTAGCAAATAGGTGTGTTGAGTAAAATGGACTACAGTGAGTGGGCAGCCCTACCATTTATGTGAAAAATAAAAATAAAGAAATTAAGGTCTGTTCAGATTTTTCTACAGGATTGAATGATCGTTTGGAAACATATAATCACCCCTGTCAAGTCCTAAAGACATATTAATGAAATGAAATGGTGGCAAACTGTTTTCAAAACTTGACTTGTCTGTGGCATACCTTCAAATTCCTGATGATGAAAAATATGCTAAGTATTTAACTATAAATACACACAAGGGTCTGTATAGATCCATCAGACTGTCATTCAGGATTAAAGGTTGCACAAGGCACATTTTCCAGTAAATCATGGATACAATATTGAATGATGTTTGATTTTGCAATAGCCTACCTTTTATGACATCTTAATTAAGAGTGAAAGCCAAGCACAACATGCTGAACATGTTAAAGAAGTTTTTGAAAAAATAAAATAATATGGTTTGAAAGTTATTTTGGATAAATGTGAATTGTTTTTAATCTAAAATTAAGAATTTGGGACAGGTTATAGATATGAAAGCAGAAAACCAGACCCATCAAGGTCGAGAGTGATAAAGAATATGCCTCTCTCAACAAATATGTCAGCACTACAAGAATTCTTGGCTCTAACAAATTACTACAGTAATTTTATCCCAAATATGCACTTGTCAAGAGCTCCACTAAGCAATTAATAAAAAAATTCTGAATGGAACTGGAGTACTGAATGTCAGCTTTTGAGAAAAATTAAAACATTAATGTCAGACTTAAATCTCGTGCCTTACAATCCAAAAAAGGATATTGTTGCAAGTGATGCTAGTAATTTGGGCTTAGGAGCAATAATATTACACAAAGAAAGCAATAGCCAGGTAAAAGCAATTGTGTATGCGTTGAGGACCCTATTGCTAGCTGAAAAAGGTATGGCCAAATTGAAAATGAGGCTTTAGGGATAATTTTTGCAGTAAAAAAAGTTTCATAGATTCATTCATGGAAGAAGTTTTACACTTCAAACAAACCACATACTGTTATTGTCAATTTTTGGTTCCACAAAAGGGATTCCTACACAAACTGCAAATCAACTTCAGAGATGGGGAAAAATATTTTAAAATTATAATTTTAAGATGAAGTTCCTGCCATCAAAGATGTTAGGGCATGTGGATGGGTTATCCAAGTTAATTCACAAACTGTGTGAACCACTGGAAGAAATAGCAGTGCTAAAAATAGAAATGGAAATAAAAAGTTTACTGTGCAAAATGATATGGGAATTACCTGTGATGCTCAAGGAGATCAGTAACAAAGCCAAAATAGACACAAATATATCACAGAAAAAGAAACAAATTCTGAACAAACAATACAAAAAGAATGATAGTGAAAACATTTTTTTCTATCTGTGATGGAATTTTGGTGTACAGTGAATGGATGGTGATACCACGAACACGGCAAAAAAAAAAGAAAAAAAAGAATATTAAAAGACTTCCATACCAATCACCCTGGTATATCGAGGATGAAAGCTTTAATGAGAAGCTATGTTTTTTGGCCAAATATGGACAAAGATATACAAAAAAAAATGTAAAATCATGGAGAGTTTGTGCAATGAAAGCAAAGGTACCACCAATGAAATTTACTCCTTGATCAAAGGCTACCTAAAGACCTTGGGCAAGGCTGCATATAGATTTTGCATGTCCAATGAAGGGACAATATTATTTAATTATGGTTGAAAGTTTCTCAAAATGGCCAGAGATGATGAAATATAAAAACCCTATGTACAGTGGTACAATTAAATTTTTGCATGAACTTTTTACCAGATTCATTATCCCAGATACAATTATCTTGGATAATGGTACACAATTCATGGCAAAAGAATTCAAAGACTTTGGTAAAGTTCTTTTAATTGTACACATTACTATTGCATCATATCCCCCATGATCTAATAGGCAGGCAGAAAGATTTATAGAAACTTTCAAGTGAGCATTAAAAAAGTCAGATGGAAATGAATCCATTGACAATATCCTACAATTTTTAAGGGTATATTGTATGACACCAAACACAATTACTAATTTGTGGTTGTCACCTGCAAAGTCAATGTCCATGAGAAAAATAGGTTCTGTGTTTGATAAACTGTTGCCAAAGGGAAATAAAAAAAAAAAAATCAATAAAGAAAAAAAAAAGATACAAAATTCTATATACCAGGAGAAATTTTTTCAAAGAGAAAAACTGAGAAAGAAATTTGGAATGCTGGTGTCACTAATAAATGCATAGGGAGATTAATGTATATAATTAAAGACCTGAAAAAGACCATTAAGAGACTTCACAACCAGGTGAGGGAAAAGGTACTCGGGAGGATATAAATAATGAGAAGGAAGAAATGATGAAGGTCATTTATGACTTATTTAATGTACCAATGCCCTTAGTAGCACCTGAGGAGAAATGTTCAAGTAAATGAAAAAGAGAATTCAATTCAAAAAAGGGGTTATTTTGTGGAGTAGCTGAACATCCCCACAAGATGGACTGGTCTCAGACTATTTAAACAGCACTCTCTCTTACTGAGCAAGAGGAGTTAATGATTGCGGGCTTGGAATACCCCACTTTAAAAACTGGCCTTGTGCCACATCTTGCCTTGTGTGGAGGTTGGTAAATAGAGAAGTTAATCATTAACTATTTATTACATTAGTTTGTGTTCTCAACTGTGTACTATATTATTCTCCAGAATAAACTACTTCTTACTTTCTATATTTGTGTCAACCTTTCCTATTTATGACACAACAATATTATAAATATTATGCATGTATTTCTTGTTCCTCTCATATATATATATATATATATATATATATATATATATATATAGTGTGTGTGTGTTTTATTGAAATCTACATGATTTTTTTTACTTTATTTT